TTTCACCATCTTGGCCAGGCTGGTCTCAAACTCGTGACCTCGTGATCCACCTGCCTAGGCCTCCCAAAGTGCTGGGATTACAGGCGTGAGCCACCACACCCGGCCATATATTTCTAATTTATAGAGAGATACACTTGATATAAAATAAATTGCGGCCAGGCGCAGTGGCTCACACCTGTAATCCCAGCACTTTGGGAGGCTGAGGCAGATGGATCATCTGAGATCAGGCGTTTGAGACCAGCCTGGCCAACATGGTGAAACCCCGTCTCTACAAAAAATACAAAAAAATTAGCCAGGCATGGTGGCGTGAGCCTGTAATTCCAACTACTCAGGAGGCTGAGGCAGGAGAATCGCTTGAACCCGGGAGGTGGAGATTGCAGTGAGCCGAGATTGTGCCACTGCACTCCAGCCCAGAAGACAGAGTGAGACTCCATCTCAAAAAAATAAAATGAAATAAAATAAAATAAACGGTTTAAGTTTTGACATGGGTAAATACCCATGAACCATCACCACAATTAAGGTAATGAGCATACCATCTCTCCAAGACTTCTGATGCCCTTTTGTAATTTTGCCCTCCTACATCTTTCTTCCCTTCCCTGAGCTGCATCCCCAGATAATCACTGATCTACTTTCTCTTACTGTCTAGAGTTTTAAATACCACAGTTTGTTTATTCATGTACTTTTGTTGATGGACCTTTGAATCATTTCCACTTTGCGGCTACTACAAATAAAGCTAATGTCAACATTTATGTACAAGTTTTTGTGGCTACTACAAATAAAGCTAATATCAACATTTATGTACAAGTCTTTGTATGAACATAGGAGGGTTTTTTGTTTAACATCGTATCACTGAAAGAGGCATTGAAGAAGGTTATGCTTTCATTTTTCTTGGGTGACACCTAGGAGTAGAACGGCTGGATTATATAGTTTGTTTATGCTTAACTTTTTAAGAAACTGCCAAATTGTTTTCCATATGATTGTACCATTTTACAGTCCTACCATCTACCAACATGTATGAGTTCTGCTTCCTCACCAATATTTCATGTGGTCAGTCCTTCTAATTTAGCCGCTCTAATACATGTAGAGATATATCGTTGTGGTTTGATTTTGCATATCCCCAACAACTAATGATGTTAAGCATCCTTTAATGTGCTTATCTTCCATGCATACATCTTCTTTGGTGAAATTTCTGTTCAAATCTTTTACTCATTTGTATTAGGTTGTTTGTTTTATTAAGTTTTAAGAGTTATTTATATATTCTAAATATGTTCTTTGTCAACTATGTGATTTTCAGATATTTTTCCTAATCTCTGTTTTGCCTTTTTATTCTTTCAGCAGTGACTTTTGAAGAGCAAACTTTTTTACTTTGTTGAAGTCCCATTTATCAATTTTTTTCTTTTACAAATCATGCTTTAGTATAATATCTAAGAAACCTCTGCCAACCCAAAGCCACTAAAGTTTTCTCTTATATTTTCTTGTAGAAGTTTTATAATTTTTTATTTAAGACTATGAACTGTTTTCAGTTAGTTTGTGTGTGTGATATGTGATGGGAATTTTGGATCAGAGTTTGCTTTTTTTCTTTTTTCTTTTTTTTTTTTTTTTTTTTTTTTTTTGCACTTGGATATCCAGTTGTTCCACCATCATTTGTTGAAAAACAACTCTGTCTCAACTGAATGGCCTT